GTTTTCTAGAATGGAGAACTCGAATCTATGTTCCATTCGCCTCGAAATCCCATTGGTTGAGCAGTGACCAATAGAAATCGAGTTATAGGAAAAACGAGTTTCTTAGGGTAAATCAAGGTGAAGAGTTCAAATCTGAGCTGTATTTGCCTCCAAATCGTATTGACTGAGCAATAGCCAATAGAAATTAAGTGTTTACAGAAAGGGTTTGCCAGGGCAATTTTGATGTTCACACATTCTAGGGTGACTCCTGTCTGATTCACTTTTTGACGTACACATAACTCTCGGATTTAAATCCGAGGTTTCCACATTTATTTTACAATAAAATTTGTTACTATTTGATCTAAATTAATTTCAAAATTTCTTTCAATATTTAAAAGAGCAATGCCTGATAACCTTTCTTCTCCCATACTGTTTCTTAAATAAGTTTTTAATCTTTTTAAACATGCAAAACTACGTTCACATTGGCATGAATTAACCGGTATAGTCCAAAGAATCTTCAATAATTCATTCATGGACGATAATGCTATGTGAAAATTATTTTCCAAAAAGAGTTCAGTTACTTCTGACAAATTCATTTTCTTATCGTTCATCTGATTCCTGTTAAGTCGTTGTTCGGCTTTCAAATCATCATAATTAATAGAATAAAATTGTGTTTTATCTGAACGAATATTAATGATTCGCTATCGGGTGTCGCTGATGTACAGATACTTTTACTAATTGTGTATATTTTGATTCGCTTACAGAAGTCAATAAATAAACGAGTAAATATTGGATTTATAATTTTTTTGGGTGGGGCAATTGCCACCAATTGCCTCGTGGCGGCCCGCCACTGAGTGATATATGACAGATGGATATGCTGAGTACAAAAATAGGAAGAGGTTTCACCTCTTAATTCAGTTAAAGACGAAGAATTTCACTTCAATAAACATCAGTTTTTATGATGCCAAAGAAAAATGTAAAATATCGTAGTCCAATCGATTTTTAATGGCCCACAACCACCTAATTCTCAAAATAATTTTGTTGGGAAATGGCTCATGACTCACAAACTCTTGGCTACACCACTTAAAATGGTACTTCATAGTCAATCGATTTTATTGTTTTCATGAAGTGTTGTTATTTCTACATCAATGATAACAAAATATGAAAAATAAAAGCTATGTGGTTTTTTTAATTAATTATGTTTTGGTATGGAGCTTCATTAACCCATCGTTTAAGCGTTTCTTTTGAACCAATTTCATACAAAAGTTGAACAACTCTTTCAACGGCTTCAATAAATTGCGGATATTTAGCTAAATCATCAAAGATTTGATTAGTACTTAAAATTTCTTTTACATCTGGTCTTGTTTTTGCAGCTAATTCACTTAATTTAAGTTCAACAGCTAATGTATCTTGTAATATGATCGGTTTATTTTGTTCATCAAATCCACTTAAATATCGTATCCAAGCACCAACAGATAATGCACAAAAATGTGGATTATTTCCTCGTTTAAGTTGTTCAACAATAATAGGTACAACAAATTTTGAAAATTTCGATGCTCCATTCCTACATACTCTTACTGCAGTATCTTTGATATTTGGATTTGAAAAACGTTCAATGAGTGTACGTTTATACTGTTCAAGATCAATGCCGGGTACTGGTGGTAAAATTGGGGTGACTTCAACATTCATTAATTGTTTAATATAAATTTTGCTGTATTTATCTAACATTATTTCATAAATATAAGTATAACCCATTAAATGACCAAGATAACACATGCTTATATGTGATGCATTCAAAAGATGTATTTTCATATTTCCATAGGCTTCAACATGTTCGGTCAGAAGAACATTATATGGTGATGATGAAAGTAATTCAAGTGGAGGTCGTCCATTACAAAATGAATCTTCAATAACCCATTGAACAAAAGCTTCAGATATTACAGGCCATCCATCAGAAATTCCATAATGTAAACGAACATATTTACGATCAGCATCAGTTGTTGCAAGTGTTATCCGATCAACTAGCATTTATAAAGAAGAAAATTTGTCTTTTCAATGAATTCTTTTTCTCTTACCCATAGAGCTCGGAAATGTTACTTGTGTTTCGATATATTCAATTAATTGAGTATTATTTAATCCTTTAGCAAATTGTAAAACACATCTTTTTATAACTTCACCGTTTCGTTGAACATTATCACATGACATTACTGTGAATGGTTTTTCATTAGCACGACGGCGTGCATCTAATGCATGAACAATAAAACCAAATATTGTTCTAGGTTTATCAGAATTTTTTAAATCATGTTGAATATCAACATTATTCATATCTAAATCATAGCCACTTGCAGTAATTGTCATTGAAAGAATTTTTGTATTTGGATGTACAAGTATGGATAGTGCATTTTCTGGTTCATCAGATGCATGAATATAATCAATAAGAGAACCGATTATACGAACATTAACATCATTTTCATCATTACCTTTTGTTACTAATGTATATAAACCATTTTGTGCTTTCATTATTCGACTCTTCGTTTTATCAAATGAACGAACTCCAATACCAACAATACCCCAATCAGTTTGTTTATGTTCACTTGCTAATATATCCATATAATAAGCTAAATGTGAACAGACAAAATTTCCAACACTTAAATGAACAATGCCATGTTTAAGTTGATTACGATCATAGGATGGTAAATGAGTACGAGCAGCTTCACATTTTGGTCTATTGACAATAAGTTGACCTAAGACTATATTAGTAGTCATTTTATCTGAAGCACTTAAAACGACAAAGTAGAATGATATGTTTTATATTTTCCTTCTCTTTTCTATAAATGGAGTAATACTTACAGAGGGTATGCTCTATATTTTATTCTTTGGTTACTTTTTGGACTCGATTGTCTATTGTGTGTTTTTCTCGAGCTTATTTTTATTCTGTTGAAAATAACAGATGTTATTCTATACAACACCTGTTAGCATTAGGTCTGAAGAAAATTCAAATATTTGTAACTGAGTTTCTTTAGAGTGCATTCTAAGTTGAAGTATGATTGTTTACTTAAAATATTTGAGATAGCACAAAAGACATTCAGAGAATATGCAGGAGCAGATATGCAACAAGGAATTAGATGAAAGAACAGAAGATAAAATAAATACTGAGACAAGGATAAACAAGGTAAAGCGATATTAAAATACTTTCAAATCGACATAATTATAACAATACGAAACGGTTACCAATAATGCCAAAAAATGGTTTGATTTGTATATATCACTTTTTGTAAACGTTGAGTCATTTTATCTTCATTAAATTAATCATTTTAATGCATATTATAGCAGGGATTTTTCGGAGTTTTTTGTAGCAGTTTTTGTCATTATTACTGTTCAAGTTTTCGATCATTTTGATGCCATTTTTCTATTGTAAATTTTGTCTGGGTAGTTGGCAATATATGTATAGCAAATATTAAATAGTCAATATCATATTGTCGTAAGTTATTACCAATATAAAATCGAATATCTGAACTATCAGTAATATCTGAATTTGATTAAATATGTTTTTCATAAAACATCAGTTCTGTTGTTTACTTGATATTGGATTTGGATTCTTAAGATAAATTTCAATCAAAGAGTATTTCATTTAAAAATCACCACCTATTGCGTTACTAGCTTCTTCACAAAAATGCATAAAGTAAATGGATGTATAGAAGAAAGAGAGAAAATAACTCATGCGTCACAATGTTTTCTTTTTGTGAGTAGAACAGAAGAGAAATTACGTGAAGTACGTTTCACGTTTTCATATATTGACGGCAAGCGATGTTTTTGTTTGCTGACACACTCATTGCTTTATACTTATCATCATCGTTGCATATTTATGGCAAATCTCAAAAGTCTACGATTTCTTCATTTAACTCAACATTACTAGACCACCACTAATTCTATTCTTCCCATGTAAAAGTGTATGCAAAATTTAACGATTTCACAAAATTTAATGTTACCTTTCTATCCTTGAAAACGCGTTAAAATATGAATCATATCACCCCGGAGGAGTTTTGAAGGGTAGGTGTTCGGTGAATAAAAATAGCATATTCGGATTCAGCGTGATCAATTACCTATATCCCCGTTGAGATCTCGAGAGGGTACCTCTGACCGTAAGCCAAAAAAATTTTGACAAAATTCAATGGAAAAAACAACGTACAGAACAGAAAAAATAAACCACTTCGCACTGGATTCGAACCAGCTTCGCGTCATCCACGCTCTTTAGCCACTTAGCTATATGCGAACTATTTTTATTCTGTTCTCTCTTGTACGTCATTCCTTTTTTTTTTATTTAATCTTAATTGCATTGAGTCAATATTCAAATACAACATCATCATTTATGATCATAAGATGGGATTTTCTCACCCATATATATGTATTTCACTTAACCAAAATTTTCATTATGTTAATTTTCACTGATATCAAGAAAAAAAACAATTTAATAATTATTTCCAATAATTAGAATTTTATTTTTTCTATTGAGTTTTTTGAAAAAGTACGAAAAATAATAAGAAAAAAAAAATTTTAGTCCATTGATTTCAAAATCTGTGTCATAGTGAGTTATTAAAGTGTATTGACGACAATCAATATTTTTCTAGGAGTGACAGAATCATTTCTCAATGTTTAAATTTTCTTTAAGTTGATCGAAAGAACCTCTGACTTATTCAATAAAAATTGCTTCTTTTCTCTTCTGTATATTTCGTTTATAATGCACATGATACATACAATGCAATTAAGATTAAATAAAAATAAATGCGGAAACCTCGGATTTAAATTCGAGTGTTATGTGTACTTCAAAAAGTAAAAATAATTGACGACAGATTGATCAAAATCAATCTGTCTAAAAACATTCATCCTTGAGCGCACTAAGGAACTGCCCCTTAAGCCCTGCGGATGCCCTCTTTTTGCCCCATAGGACGTGGCGAGGAGTTAGTTCCAGAAGCTTTATTCATTCGCATAAATGAAAAGTTGCTTGTTTTAGTTGAATCTTGTTATAAACTCATATTAAACAAGTCAAAATGTGGTAAAAACTGTTGAGGATTATCTTGAAAAGGTAAAAGAGCATCATAATGAGTACCGTTGTAATAAATACAAAATCCTAATTTATTCATATCGGATTTGTATCCTATATATTTTAAATGACCACCTGCTGTTCCTTTATTAAATCGATCGATTAATTCCTATACACTAATATTCAATGGAATATAATGTCTATTTTTTGGATTGTTGTCAAATTGGATGTATGAATAGATAGGATGAGATAGAGCTATAGAAAGTGCTTTGATTTGAACTTCTCCGCCCCATATTGTATTCGTAGCAGTTCTTTTCAACTGTTCTTCAAATGAATAGTCCAATACTTTACAAAGTGTTTGGAAATAATCGCTATTATTAATCATTGCATTGGCTGCTAACAATCTCATTGAATGTGTTAGTTTTTCAGACCCAATATTTATTATCGAAAGAGAACTATATAAACAATTGCCATCTGCAGTTGTACGAGCTCTAGCATAAACTGAATCAAATGCTTGAACAGAATATTCTGTTTTCGATTTTAACCGGATGGATTGATCTTTATTATGCATAGTTATAAATGGTGATTTTCCAATCAAATCATTGATTATTTGAACTTGATTTGAAATTTGATCAGTATCTGTAGTACTCAAGGGGGAAACAGCGGACTTCAAGACTTCAAGACTTCAAAAGACTTCAACAGACTTCAACTGCAGTGACTTCATATTTTCACAAGACTTCAAAAGAGTTCTAAAGAGTTCTGAAGACTTCATAGGACTCCAAATGACTTCACAAGACTTTATAAGACTTCGTATGACTTCATAAGACTTCATGAGACTTCATGGGACTTCAAAAGACTTCGTTAGACTTCACAGACTTCGTGAGACTTCACGGACTTCATGAGACTTCATGGATTTCATGAGACTTCAGAGACTTTGTAGGACTTCTTGAGACTTTATAAGACTTCATAAGACTTCATAAGACTGCATAAAACTTCACAAGACTTCAAGAGATTTCAAGAGACTTCAAGAGACTTCATGAGACTTCAAGAGACTTCAAGAGACTTCATGAGACTTCAAGAGACTTCAAGAGACTTCATGAGACTTCATGAGACTTCATTAGAATTCAAGAGACTTCAAGAGACTTCATGAGGCTTTATGAGACTTCATGAGACTTCATGAGACTTCACAAGACTTCATGAGACTTCAAGAGGCAGATTCCATGCGTATCAAAAAACCTTATAGAAATTACATGAAACTTCTATAACATGCAAAAAACAAAACTTATCATATCGAGATTACAAAAGTGTTTCTTGTTTCTGAGAATTGTTTCTCGCAGTATATCTATATCTAGAATAAAGATGTGACAATGACACAAAGCGTTGATGAAATTAAAACAGAGAAAATAAACTTTACTGGTATGCGTATGTTTGATTCGATTAATCCAGCATTGGAAAACTCCTATTTTCAGGTGCAAATAAATAACAAGACTAAATTTATACACAAGCAAACGACTTGTTGGTTATTGACCGACGAAGCTAGCCGTTTATCGGCTGATAGATTATCACGAGTGATAGAAATAAACAAAAATGAATAAAATTCTTCATAAGATTGACATCGAATAAATGAAACATTTCTTATAAAAATAAACCACTTCATTCAAAAAGCATTCAGTTCTTAACTATCATGTTTTCTAAGATTCAACAAACTTGAATTTTTTTCCAGTACCTAGACAAACAAACAATAAAAAGTTCACCTTTCTGCTAAAATAAGACCGTCGAAAACAAGACAATTTCATTGTTTTTTTATGAATTTTCATGCACTAAACGTATTTCAAAACTTCCATAAGAATTCATGAGACTTCAAAAGACTTCAAAAGACTTCAAGAGACTTCAAGAGACTTCATGAGACTTCATTAGAATTCAAGAGACTTCAAGAGACTTCATGAGACTTCATTAGACTTCATGAGACTTCATGAGACTTCATAAGACTTTATGAGACTTCAGAGACTTCAAGAGACTTTATGAGAATTCATGAGAATTCATAAGACTTCAAAGAGACTTCAGAAGACTTCGAAAGACTTTCAAGATTTCATGGGACTTCACGACTGAAGTCTCTGCTGTTTCCCCCTTGGTAGTACTATTAAAATCAGGTACAAGAAGAAAGTGATCAAGAATCTTTCTTGAGTTTGAATCAATGTTTTCATAATTTGCAAAAGAAGATTGTTCATCGATTTCCATCATATCAGACTGATCATTGGTGTGACGATCTTTAAGATTAAAAGTCGTATCTATATCAGTTTGTTCGTTTTCATCAACTGTTTTATAACGATCGGAAGAAAATTCCTCGTCGACTTCCATCATATCAGACTGATCATAAATTCTAAGATCTTTCAGATTAAAAGGTATATCTGTACGAATTTGTTTAATTTCATCAACATGAATTCCAGTCAAAATTTCACGCTTTCTTATCCATATTGGTTTATGAAAACTTGTTAGACTTTCAAAATAATCAGATTTCAAACCATTCCCATTAGTAAAACAATAGTCGATCTGCGTTTTAGCATTAGTTGAATTTTTATTTAGTTTATTAATTAAAGTGAGTCCGAATGATTCCATATAGTCAATAAATT